ATTAAGAATGGGGTATCCTTCTTCAAAAGGTGCGTAAAAGGTTTATAGTGACCTGAGAGGTTTGAGATGAACTTGTTGATATAAGCCAGTTGCCCATGGAGGGATCACAGCTCTCGTAATGTTGTTGGTGATGGCATTTCCTGGATCGCCTTGATCTTAACTGGCTCAACTTCCAACCCTCAGTGTCTAACAATGAACCCTAAGAACTTTCCTGAACGCATGCCAAAAGCGGATTTCAGTGGGTTCATTTTGAGCTGATGAAGGCATAACTGTTCGAACACCATTTCAAGGTCTCTCATATGAGCATCTTTCTCTTTGGATTTCACCACCATGTCATCCACATAACATTCCATCTCTTTGTGCATCATGTCTTTGAAGATGGTCATCATTGCTCTATGATATGTGACACCGGCATTCTTCAATCCAAAAGGCATCATTGTGTAGCAAAAGATCCATTTTGGAGTTAAGAACGCAGTGGCTTCCTCATCTTCTGGTGCCATCTATATCTGATTATACCCCGAGTATCCATCCATGAAGGAGAAGATCTGACAGTGAGTTGTGAAGTCAATGAGCATCTCCGTAAACAGCAACGGGAAGTCATCCTTCTGGCAAGTAGTGTTCAGGTCGTGGAAGTTAATGCAGACCCTAATTTGGCCGTTCTTCTTCTTGACTAGGACAATATTTGTCAGCCACTTTGGGTACTTGACTTCGCAAATGAAACCCACTTGCCTGAGCTTGGTCACTTCAGCATCTATCTGCATTTCGAGGTCAGGCCTGAACCTCCTTGATTTTTGCTTGACAAGCTTGACGGATGGATCGTTGACAAGACAGTGGACTGCGACTTGAGGATCTAAACCACACATCTCATGGTAATGCCAGGCAAAGACGTATCGGTTTGCTCTCAAGAAGGCAGTAAAATTCTCTTTCTCTTCTGACGACATATTTGCCGAGATGAAAGTGGCCATGGGGTCGGCTTTGTCTTGATATCCTTCTTCCCATTCTTCTGGGGCTTCTAGCAACTCTTCATCATTGGCTTCAGCAGACCTCTCGTTAACCTCTAGTGAAGATACCTACACTCCTGACATTTCTTCTTATAGTCAGGCTTTGTTATGGAACATGGTTCTTGCATGCTCATCTTGCTTGCTAACGAAGGATCAACCTCGAGTAAAGCCGATGTGTCCGGTCGAGATAATTCACTCTGAGGTTCTTAGGATGGCTGCAACTCAACGATTGTACAGACAGTCAGCGCTTAGTGAGTACCTTATCGATGTTCCCTTGTATCCACCATGGGTCTAGGTAATGTGGTAGGTTGAGGGTCAGGTTTAGGAGGTGGTTGGGTGTATGGGACCAGAGGCATCCTAAGGAATTGGAGGATGGGTAAATTATTTGAAGTATTCAAGTGAGGGAGAAGTGGTGGATTGGGAAACTTTAAGATGCCTAGCTTCTGAGGTGGAGGTTGCAGTGCTTTCCTTGACCTCAGGCTCTTTGCCCCATGCTGGGTGACGCTTCTGAGATCTGCACCATGTGACAGAATTCTTGAAAATAGAAGCTTTTCCCTCTTGATTCTCTCAGCCTCTGCTCAAAGTTGGGCTCAGGGGGCCACTGAGGTTTCTTCGGTTTTGACTTCTTGTGCTTCTTTGTGGAGGAAGATGGCTCTGATCTGGCTCGAGCAGCCAAGGTGTCAGCAATTGTTAATAATCCAGTTGCCCGGGCTAGCGTCCTTTTCAACCACCTCCGTTGTGTCCTGCTTATATTGATTCCTTCAAGTTCTCTGTCAAGAGCCTTGAAGTCTGGACATTCTTAGGTTGTACTTGCAAGAGACATAGAAGAGGAGGGGGAAGAAGAAGAAGAAGAAGAGGGGTTAATAGGTGAGGGACTTTTAAGGTCATTCCCCTCATTGGACTGATTTGGGCCGCTTTTTATGTCATCATAGGAGTTGGACGTACGCACAGAGTCTTTTAGGTCTTTCCCCTGCTTAGACCACTGGGGAGTACTTTTAACGTTGTCACCCTCATTGGACGTGCCCCAAGTAGAAGATGACCCAGGGATATTCTCTTGATGAGGTGAGGAAGGAAGGATGATTGTACCGGAGATGAAGTCTTGTAAGGTCGGCAATGGCAGAAGAGGCTTGAGAAATTCTTGCTCAACCGGTGCTTGAGCAGTCTTGTTTCTTCAGCGAGCAGCCCTTGGCGCCCATCTTCTCCAGTTTTCATTGGAAGTGCTTGATTCGTCTCGCTAGGTTTATGAACAACCTTAGCTTGACGAATTGCTTCTCACCTTAAGAACTTGAGTCTGCTCTGCCCGTGCTGGACTATCCATGGCTGGAAAGTCGAGGGTTTAGCAGGATCTGAATCATCATTACCCAGGTCTTGTGTCAGGAGGCCCTCTCGCATTGGTGGAACAATGACTTGGGGGTCTCCTTATGGAACGTTACAAGCTTCTTGCCCTCCCTGTATTTTCTTTACGATTATGTCGTGGAAACTGAAGTATTTGCTCAGGTCATGGCCCCATATCTGATGGTACAGGCACCAGTGGTTCTCAGTTGAGCAAGCTGTCGGGGCTGCCTTGCCGGCTTTGGTGTGATCAGGCCTTCTTGAAGCATCATGACGAACAAGGCACGAAGGAAGTCGGGCGCTTTGTCTTCCTCTTGGACTATCACTACGTGGGAAGCTTCTATTGCCTCGAATGCTTTCTTTAGCTCTTCAAGCTTTATCTGACCCTTCTGGATCAGGGTTTCAATGATGTCTTTTAGCATGTAGCATTCCTCTGTGGGGTGGTTTATCCTCCGATGATAAGCACAATAGTTCACATTGGTGTCGAGTCCATCTTGATCAGGGAACTTGGTCTCAGGCAGCTTGATTATGTTTTGTTCCAGTAATAATCGCAGTAGTGAGGGAACGCATTCCTTTTTAAAAGGGTAGACTTCATTCTTATTTCTGGTCCAATAATCATCTATATTAAGGTTCGCATGTGGGGGTACCAGGTTGTATGATTGTTGTTTGTTTGCCTGCCTGAGGTGATGTCTTTGTTGTGCTTACCCCTTTGGAGAGGTCCAAGGTTTGGGAGGTAGCCTTCTTTGGATCACTGTTAGTGACGGCTGTGCTGATTACCCCTATTTGTTGATTGCCTCGGGCATTGGTCCGAGAATTACCATTGCCTCGGTTGTTTCTCGAGCTTGCAGACTGTTGTTGTGACCCACCGTGGTGACGTGACAGGCTTTCTATGCGAACTTACTTAGAGATCAACTCTGACATGGAGGTTGGATTGGAGGCCTCAACATGTAGAGCAATCTCAGGTCGCATGTTTCTCACACATGTTTGAATTGCTTCCTTCTCAAGCATGGGTTTATGATGGCGAGTAGCTAAATCCTTCCATGTTGCTATAAATTGATCCACTGGTTCGTCTGGTTCTTGGATCAAGGTAAGAAGCTAGATGGTTTGGACTTATCTCTCAACCTCATAGAAGCGCTGGTGGAAAAGTTTCTCCATTTCTTCCCAAGTATGTACTGAATTAGGGGGTAGCCGAGCATACCACTAAAAAGCTGGTCCATCAAGGGTTTCAACAAACTGATGGAGGACGAGTCTCCCATCAACTGATGTCTCTCGACATGCCACTTGGAAATACGTGATATGCTGGTGCAGGGATGTTGTACCATCCAACAGGGGAAGCTTCCCTTTCTTGGAGTTCGAGGGAAACGAAACCTGATCGATATAGGAGGGGTACGACTTCTGGTACATCGTTGAACTTTGCATATTCGGGATCTGTCTGCACTTCAGGCTATGGCTTGTCATAGTGTCGACGTCTGCTTGTGAGACGAGGTGAGGGACGGAATTGTCCTGTGAGGCAAGAGGAGGAGGCTGCCTTGGAGCTGCATCATCCGAGTGATGGGAGTCGGCCTCATGATGGGATACATTGATTGGGGACCGCCTGTTTTTCATGCGATCAATCTTATCCATCATCGCTTGCACCATCTGCTCGAACCTGTCCATGCATTCTTCCTGGTTGTCATTAGGTTCAGTCACAACCATAATGCTAACCCTATGTGTAGATGAAGGCTTTCGAGCTTGGAGGGTCGTGTGCCGTAGATCGGTAAGCAAGGGCTCAACATGCTCCGACTGAACTCGAGTCTTATATGCCGATCGCGTGAGGACCGGTTCTCGACGGTCTTGGAGTTGTGGCTGCTGGGTAGTTGGGTCATCTTCTACGACACTGACCACTGTGCAGACTACTCTCATCTCCTCTTCAGGTTTCAAAATTCGAAGAGGTTAGAAGGGGTTCTGATGAACAGGGTCATCAAAGTTGGGTGCCCCAACTGTCTTGGCTGCTTCTCTAGTCAGCATTTGTAGTATTTTTTCTATAAACCATTTTGACACCAAATTTTGTATGTCCAATCCTCTATTAAACTCACACTAGTAAAAATTATAAAAACAATATTTCTAATAAACTAAATGACCAACATATCCCTGAAATTTTAAAGGGGTATTTTGGTCTTTATATTTTATCAAAGAATTATTTTTAATATTTTATAGGTGCGCTCCAATGAGAAGATGTCACATACCAAATTTCATATTCATACAATTTGTATAAAAAAAAACTAAAAATAAAATACTTTGAGACGTCGGATCTGAGATCAATGGTGAGTGGCTCTCTTGATCAAAATTGAACAGTTGGATAGTAGATGAAGCATAGATCTTTTATGCTGTTGGGAAAGTATAAAAACCGTTACCTTAGTGTATACTTTTCCTTTTCAATTTATTTTGTTGGGGCTAGGCTCCCTGCCCTTTCTCATTGCGCTCCAAATAGCCCTATGTAATATGCAGTATGATACAGGCCCATATACTAGCCACCCGTACAAATGCATGTGATGATGTTTCCCTTATTTTGCTAAGATTCCGCTACGTGCCTTTTCGAACTTTGTGTAAAGTTTTATTGGCTTTTGGGTTAACTTAGATGCTAAGGTTTCCGTAACCATGGGACCACCAAAGAGAGAGAGGAAATTTATAAAAGGGTAAAGTGGGAAGTGATGGGAGTAAGGAGAGAGAGGAGAAAGCAAAGGAAGGACAAGTTCAGAGTGAGAGAGATGTCGAACAACAAGGGTTTGCAAAACCAGGCCCTTCTATATACTCCTTTCTATTTCTCTCTTGTGTTCCTTTTAAAATATAATCAAAGGACTAATTTGTTGTGTTCGCTTCACGTGGAGAGAGAGAGAGAGAGATTGGATGGTACTTTTCGTGATGAATTGTAGTGGGGATTATTTATTATGCTTGATGAAATTTAGGTTGAGAGAGACAAATACAAGTTCATTGTTTACATTGGTTCTTTTCTTGATGTGTGAGAGAGAGAGATTGCTTGTTGCTTTTCTTGATGAATTGTAGTGGGGAAGATTTATGCTTGATGAAATTTAGATTGAAATAGAGAAATACAGCTTCATTGTTTGCATTGGTTCTTTTCTTGATGTGTGAGAGAGAGAGAAAGAGAGAGAGAGTTTGCATTGACGTTTGCTTGATGTTCAGAAATGAGTACGGCTGCGAAGATAGCAGGCGTAGCAAGTGCTGGAATGATGTTATTCATGGGCATCAAGATTCAGCCTACCATGGCAATGAACAAGAGGAGGAGGGGAAGACGATGAAAAAGCCAGGGGAAGATGGACGCATGCTCCGCAGAGATTTTGAAGAAAACCCTAAAGACTATTTCCTTGATCATCAACGCTGACAAAAGCTCGAAAAAACTGTTAGAATGAATGAAATCAAATGAAAAATTAAAACAAGGGGGAATACGGTTGAGGAAGTGGTTTACTGGTTTAGCTCAGGATTAAGTAAGTGCTTTGGTTTTTTGTGGTGTTGGTGCTTATATTTCCCTCTAGCACGAGGGATGGTGGTGTTTTTTATTTCATGTGTTTCCTGTTCTACTTCCCAATGATATGAACCAATGTAGTGGTGGGACCTTTAGTTAGCATCTCTTTCTAATGGAAAGTGTTTATATGAGTGTGAGGCCTTAATCAATCAAATTAATGGGTCCTCAAAAAATTCACTAGGAGAGGTTGTTTTGATGCTTAAAAATCTTCAAATCAATTATTTCGACCTCAAGATGTATAAACATGAAAACAAATAGATTTTTATGTCTCAGTGTATCTTGTTATATATTTTTTGGACTTTCAATTTTCAAGATATTCATATACTCAAATATCCGCTCAATCTACATTATTTTTAAAGCTCTAAATTTCTATAATTAGAGATGAAAATAATTTTTCAAGCTATCATAATGATTTTTAGTATTGAAATTCACACTATTTGAAGGTGTGCCTTACTTTGATTACTTAGGGCCTCGGCTTTATATAAACCACACCCCTTTCTAATATGTTGTCAAATGTTGTTGGTGTGTTTCTCTTTTGCAATTAAATTAAGGGATTATATAGTAGAAGACCATCTATCTTTAGAATAAGGAGGTCACAACTAGTCCTAGACATCAAATGTTAAAGTGGCAGCTTCAAGGATGTCACGGAGTTGGAACAAATATCTTTGAACTTTGAGCAAGAGTAATTACATAATCTCAACTGGAATAAATTTTTTTGAACTTTAAGCATGAGTAATTACATAATCTCAGCCTTCTGATTTCAAATCAAACAGTAAAAAATGACTGCGAACTTTTTATACAAAAGATAAATGGTCTTATTCTATAAATTTTCTTAAATTAAACATCATATTTGGCATGATATATCTTGTGGCTTCTTTCTCATATGAGATTAAGAAATAGCACCTAAGGGCACATTTGATCTTTTAGAATATTGTCGCAACTTTAAAGCTTGATGGATTCAACCCTTCCTCAATTTGTTCCAAGCAATGTTTTAAAATCTGGATTGGTAGAAGGATCATTTACCTACATATTTGTGTCATATCATTCGATCAGTGATCCAGATCAGTACAAATCCATGATCTAGAGAAACAATAGAAAATAAATGAAATAAAATAAGAACACAATTAGTATGCTACCAGCCCACGTATTGTAGAAATGCGGGCTTGGCAAAAAATATAATTTGATCTTAACTTTAAGAGAATATATAATCTTTAACATGGAGATCATGAATATGAAAAAAACAAATATATTTTGAAAACTAGAAATAATAATTATGTTAAGAAAACATTGGCACCGCTAGTTACAATTGTTTTTAGACCACCTATATGCATCCATCTTTAAGATTGATGCTTTATACGTCTAGACTGCATATTGTAGAAATGTAGTCCAACCCGCATGAAACATTTGTTCATAAAATAAAAATTAAAAAAAAGATTTATATGGTAGGGATTGAGAGGGGATCTAATAAAATATTAAAAAAGATTAAAGAAAGGAAATATATATATATAAATATATATAGGGGGCTTTAGGGAGAACATGATGGGCACCCATACATCCTAGACCTAGTTCAATTCCTACCACTTCCCATCTAGAACGGTGATCCGTATCGGAAATTGTTGGGTTTTAAAACACTAGTTCCAATAATGGATTTGCAGTGCTAGGGTCTCCTAAAATTTACCTTAATATTTCTAAAATCCATTTTAGTTATGGATTTTTGATGTAAATTCTAAATCTTAAAATTGAGTATTAAAACTTTGTTGTTTTAGATGGTTCACATTATTCTTTTAAATAATATATTTTATGGTTTAAATTCTAGGCTTTCATGATTCATGATCATCAAAGCTATAACCGTAGATCCATAATCCATAATATTTGGAAAGGGTCGCATAAGAATATAAATGCACTAATTTTTTTTGCTTTGTTCAATAATTAAAAATTAATGTAAGGATTGTATAAGGTGTCGTCTTTATATTGTAGAATAGTAAAAGTAAGGCACACCTCTAAATTTTGTTCGAAGATGTATTTTCATTGTTGGAAACCATATGATGGCTTGAAAATCTATTATTGTCCCTAGTTATAAAATTTAAAATTTAGAAAATAGTACAAATCAAGCATATATATAAATAGATCTAGAAAAACTAGAAAATCTTGAAAATAAATATTCCACATAATTTGTTATAAGATGGACTATTTTTAATACTAAAAATTATTATTTTTTCATGTCCAAGATTGATCAAATGGGAGGGTCTTCCAACATCAGAACACTCTCTTCTAGATGATTTTTGAGATGCATTTCAATAATATAAAGTTAACATCTTATGTAAACGTTTTCATTATTTTCTAACCTCTTTAAACTTTCTCAAGTATCAAGCCTATGGCCTTTTTCTGTTTTTTTTTTGCCTATTTCATTTTTGCCCTCTTCTTCTCTTTTATAACTCTTCTAAATTATTTTCCGAAAAAAGCTCTTCCACTTCTCCTGGTCTTCTTTTCTTTCATCAGTGATTCCCGCTCCAAAGTTAAATAAGGAAGTCATAGCGCATTGGTAACTACCACACATTCATCGCCAAATATTTTATTTAGAGACTTGGAGAGAATTGAAACCTAGTGTGAATACCACACAGTAAAGTGGACTGCATGGGAATTCATGATATCATAAAAGGATTTTGAAAAACATAAACCACATGCATTTTTCCTTCAAAACTAGAATCATTCAAGAAAAGAAAACATGTAAATTTGAAGTCAATTTATGTTGAGCATGAATATACAAAGGTGTTTTTCAAAAGAAATGAATGTTTGAAAAATGACAATCCAGTTAACGAATCCTCGATTCTAGTTCGAAATTGGTGGGAACCAACCGGTTCCTTGAAGGAACCAAGAATTGGTCTATTTTTATAGGTTGCCCAGTTGTGTAAGAGAACCGAGTGAGTCGGTCAGAGAATTAGGTTATCTAGATTAGCCAAATAACTTGGTTTATATCTATTTTATGTTTTATTATTATTTGCCATTCTTATTTTTAAAAATAATAAATAATATTTAATTTCTTTGGGACCAGTTTCTACCCAAGAGATTGGGTCCAATTCAGTCGAGATTGGCGATCTAGATCCGTCCAGCCATTAACTGCTCCGGCAACTCGACCTGCGTTTTAAAATACATAATAAAAGAGAAGGAAAAAAGCCATGTACTTTGAAGTGTATGAAGTTTGGTAAGATCTTATACTACTATTACAACACATACTTCAAAAAAATAGTCAAATTAATTATTAAAACATTAATAATTTTTCCAAGTTCTGGGACTTCTACTGCCTCGTCTATCTCTTTGCATGCTTTTATTTTAGTTGTATGTATATTGTTGCGAGAAATGTTCAACCCGCCTAGGTCTAATATCTCTCATCTTATCACCTATTGGTATCACACCAAATTTTTTTCGAATATACTCATTTCGAATTATATCCCTTCTTGTGTTGCCACTCATTAGTCTCAACATCTTAATTTCCACTACATTTATTTTATGGGGATTTTTTTTTGTTTGACCACCCAACATTTCACCTTATAGAGCAAAGCAGGTTCCACAGTTATCCTAGTGAACTTGCCTTCCAGCTTCATTGGCATATGTCGATCACATAAAATTTTGATTACATATCTCCAATTCACCCACCCAGCTCTAATTTTATGTACAACATATTCCTCAATATCTCAATTTTTCTAGATTATCGATACAAAATATCGAAAGTACATTTTTTTTCTAATTCTTGTCCGTCAATCTTAACAATTTTGTTGTCTCTACTCCTATTATTAGTAAAACTGTATTCCATAAACTTTGTATTAAACCGACTAATTTTAAAACATTTAGATTCTAAAACATCCATCCAAAGTTTTACTTTTGTATTGACTTCGTTTCAGGTCACATTGATCAAAACTATGTCATTTGTGAACAAAATGCACTACAATACGTTATATTATAAATACCTACTTAAATCGTTCAAAACTAAGACAAAGAGGTATGGGCTCAATGTTGATGTCTGATGTAGACCTATTATCATTGAAACTCACTCATCTCTCCATTCGTTGTTCGTATACTAGTTAACGCTTCCGTTTGTCTCCCTTGGTTCTCTTGTCCAAGAATTAAAAACATGGTTTGGTGATCTAGATCACTCTTATGGATTTCCAATATGGTTCAGCACCAGATATTAAAAATTAACCGGTTCACACTTGCAGTACTGTAAGAAAACCAGCCCAGAAACCGGCCATGTCATAGGTGAACTAGTCGCTTTCCGATATTTTTAAAACATTGCTCGAATCGATTCCTACGTCCACGGAAATCTTAGCACCTGGGTAACCACAAACTTTTCCTTTGTGGGTGAAAAAATTTCCCTTTATTAATTGCATAATGTTTTCATCCTTTAAGTAAAAGTTAAAGCTAGTCAAAGTATAATAATTGCGAATTGTTTTCATGCTTTTTGTAGAGGGTGCCTTTCTATAACGACATCGACCTCCATCAATTCTTCTTCCATGCAACTTTACTAGTAGAAGTAAGGCTTCGTATGTAATTTATTTTAATTAGATAATGAAGATTTGAGATGTCATTTAATATTGTATCAAAATAGTAATATTTTTATTTTAATTTGTGTTAAATCTACACTATTTGAATAAAATAGATGATGTAGATTACTGTAATACTATTTTTATAAGTAAAGTTACAAATTTATATAAACATTTCTTTTGTAGAAATTAGACAAGACCTAGTGAGGAGAATACACAATGAACTAAAGAGTGATGTGCATGATATATCTTGTCGCAGATGAGAGAAAGCAATAACACCTAAGGGCACGTTTGATCTTTTAGAATATTGTCGCAACTTTAAAGCTTGATAGATTTACCCCTTCATCAATTTGTTCCAAGCAATGTTTTAAAATCTGATCCGGTAGGAAGATAATTTACCTACATATTTGTGCCATATCATTCGATCAGTGATGCGGATCAGTATAAATCTATGATCTAGATAAATATAAGAAAATAAATGAAATAAAATAAGGACACAGTTAGCATGCTGCCAGCCCACATATTGTAGAAATGCGAGCTTGGCAATAAATATAATTTGATCTTAACTTTTAGAGAATATATAATCTTTAACATGGAGATCATGAATATGAATAAATAAATAAACTTTAAAAACTAGAAATAATAGTTATGTTAAAAAAACATTTGGACCGCTAGTTACAATTATTTTTAGACTACCTATTTGCATCCATCTTTAAGATTGATGCTTTATACCTCTAGATTGCATATTCTAGAAATGCGGTCCAGCCCGCATGAAACATTTGTTCATAAAAAAAACTTAAAATAATGATTTATAGGGTAGGGATTGTGAGGGGGCCTAAAAAAATATTAAAAAATCTTAAAAGAAAGAAAAAAATATATAGGGGGACTTTAGGGAGAACATGATGGGGACCTATACATCCTAGAACTAGTTCAATTCCTACCAATTCCCATCTAAAGCGGTCCGTATTGGAAATTGTTGGATTTTAAACACTAGTTCCAATAATGGATTAGTGGTACTTAGATTTTTAAAGCATTTTGAAAAGATAAAAAAAGCCAATAAACCACATGCATTTTGCTTTCAAAACTATAATCATTCAAGAAAAGAAAACATGTAAATTTGAAGTCAATTTTATGTTGAGCATGCATTTGATGAATATACGACTGTGTTTTTCTAAAGAAAGGAAACGTTTGAAAAATGGCCATCTAGATAGAGAATCGTCAATTCTAATTCGAAATTGGTGGGGACCAACCGGTTCCTTGATGGAACCAATGGAGAGCTAAGATTGCCCTCTACACTATTTTTTTTTTTATTTTTTTCTCTACAAACTAATTTGAAACAAAATTTTGTACATCCAATCTTTTATTAAACTCGTACTAGCAAATAATATAAAAAAAAAATATTCAATAAAATAAAATAACCAAAATATCTTTAAAAGTTTCAAGTGGTATTTTAGTCATTATATTTTATGAAAAAATTATTTTAAATATTTTTTATAGGTGCGCCCCAATAAAAAAATGATACGTACCAAATTTCATATTCATAAAATTTGTATAAAAATAACTAAACATAAAATACTTTAATATGTCGGATCTAAGATCAAACACTGAGTGACTCTAGTGACCCAAATTGGACGGCTAGACGGTAGGGGAAACATAGATCTTTTATGCAAATAAACCTTTCCCAAATGTAGCTGCCATTTCTAGCTTTGGGTAAAGTTTTATAAAAAAAGTTTATATAGAGCCGAGGCTCTAAACAATCAAATTAGAACTTACCTCAAAAATTTCACTAGAAAAGATTGTTTTGATACTCAAACATCATCAAAGTAATCATCTCAATATCAAAATGCATGGACATAAGAAAAAAATGGATTACAAGTTTTGAAAATAGTGTATTTTATAATATATTTTTGGACCGTCAATTTTCAAGATTTTCAAGTTTTCATAGATCTAGCAATCTACACTATTTTTTGAAGCTTTAAAGTTTATAAATAAAAATGAAAATATATTTTAAGGCTATCACAAATATTTCTACAGTTAAAACCACATTTCTCGATACTATTTGAAAATAAGTTCTAATTTGATTGTTTAGAGCCTAGGCTCTATACAAACCGCACCCAAGTTTATTGGCTTTTGGGTTACCTTAGGTGCTAAGGTTCCGTAACCAGTGACCACCAAAGAGAGAGAAAATGTTTATAAAAGGGTAAAGTAGGTAGTGATGGGAGTAAGGAAAGAGAAGAGAAGTTCAGAGTGAGAGAGAGATAGATGTCGAACAAAAAGAAAAACGGTTTGGATTGGGAAGATTTACAGAGAGAGGGGAAAGAGAGAGCTGGTCTGGAGCACCCAAGAGTATGGAGAGTGAGTGGGAGTGGGTCGAAGAGAGAAGAGGAAATTGAGTCCGATTCGTGGGTTTCTCCAGGTGAGAACTCTGCTGTGATATTGCAAAACCAGGCCCTTCTATACACTCCTTTCTATTTCTCTCGTGTTCCTTTTAAAATGTAATCAAAAGACCAATTTGTTGTGTTTGGTTCACTTGGAGAGAGAGATTACATGGTACTTTTCTTGATGAATTGTAGTGGGGACTATTTATGCTTGATGAAATTTAGATTGAGAGAGAGAAATACAGCTTCGTTGTTTGCATTGGCTCTTTTCTTGATGAGAGAGAGAGAGAGATTGCCTGTTACTTTTGTTGATGAATTGTAGTGGGGAAGATTTATGCTCGATGAAATTTAGATTGAAATAGAGAAATACAGCTTCATTGTGCATTGGTTCTTTTTTTGATGGAGAGAGAGAGAGAGAGAGAGAGAGAGAGAGAGAGAGAGAGAGTGACTATAGACGAGTCGTGTCGTTGTAGTTGTTACGAAGTAAAGTAGTAACGGTTACCGTTACGACGAAGTACGTACGGCCGGGTAC